ATTCATTTAGAAAAACTTATCATAGGTATAATGAGTGCATGCTATGTGCATCATTCCAGCTAATATATCCAACTCTCTTCCTTTAGTGCCAAAATCAGTCATCTTGCTATCATTCAGAAAAAAAAAAATATGACTTACTTCCTTTGGAAAAAAAATATTTCTAAGAAACAAAAATAGCTTCTCAAACAGACAGAAGTAAACTCTCAATGGTATCAGTTCCTCTTGTCTTCTCCACAAAGGTGTGTTTGGGTACTATCATAAAGAGAACCATTGAGGGCAGTGCAAATATAGCAGATAATTAAGCACAGGAAGAGAACTTCTACTAAAATCAAGGGATTTACATGACTTCATATCAAGAAAGATCATGTTTCAGGAGCATGGAATCCTTGTGTACTAGGAAAGCAGAACTTGATTTTCTGCATTCTTTGAAAGTATGAAGGGAGAAGTATGAAAGACTGTATAAGGAACCTCAATACCTTACTTGGTGTCTTTTGCAAATGACATAATTCAGTGTTTGAAATTACTCTTGGGTCAATTACTTCACTCTCCTATTTTCCAACCTAGAAGCAGTAAATGGGCATCCGTTTTTTAAATTCCATCTGCAGTAATTGAACTAATTCATCAGTCTTAACAAAGCCAATAACCTTGTCCTCCAATCTCCTTCCACTCAAACTCATCAAACATGCCATAAATGAACATAGCTCAGTGATCATGGAACTCTGAACATATTTCTTTTTGTTACTCTATAATTGAAGTTTGACATGTTTTGTTTTCTATTGCTTTGTGTGTGTATGTTTTGTTTTACTTTATATCCTCTATATCATTTGCAGTTATAAATGACTAAGAGGGAAGTCTGGACTTCACAAAGCACAAACTTCCTTGCCAGCTTTAACAATTATTTCAAAGATTGATATGCAGGTTCAATAATGCCTTGTCACTCAAAATAACTCTATTTATTGTCTTCCTCTCTACAGGGAAGTCTTTCTTCAGTATTTTCCCTCACTGCATGTGTCAAGGTCTAAGAACACTGGAAAAAAAGGCCATTTTTTAAACCAAAACATATATTCATTATGTGAACAATCTTCTTAAAATAGGAAAGGAAACCAAAAGAAAGTCACAACATTACAGTGAAGTTTGCTACTTCACTGCTCGACTGAGTAGGGAGCAGCTCTGCTCATAGATCTCAAGAAGAAAGGCTTTCACCTTCCTCTATTTTTCACACTGATCATCTCTTCATTCTGGAGCTTTAGGTGACCAGATTGTTCTCCTTTGTGTGAACTGGGTAATGTTCTTCTAGATTTGCCTTTTTCCTTAACTTGCTAAAATAAAGTGTTTCTTTCCTGCATATGGAGTTCTGTTTTCCAGTTACATCCATGAGTGGTTGAAAAGTAACAATGAAAAAAAGAAGCCTATGTCAGATGTATGAAAAAAGCCTCCACAAGTCCAGCAGAACAGAGCTGCTCATTACAGCTGCTGTATACAGACAAGCTATTTAACTTCTTTAACTTTTCCTGAACTTCAGCAGTTCACACAAAGTTTTTACATACTAAATGTAGATTTTTTTAATCTGAGGAGATGACACAAAGATATTCTACTACAGCTCTATGATTAGCTGATTTAGGTATTTTGTGCAATGTTCAAGAACAGAGATGGTCTGGATCTACAGATTTAATGTACTCAATGCCATTTATAATAAAAATAGCTTTTTTTTTTCTTGTAGATTGTATACATGTTAAAAAATAACAAAACCAGTATTTGCCAATGCTACCATGGGTACCTTTCCTTTGGTGATATTAACTAGAAAAACCCAAATTCTGAAGACAAATAAGGCACTGAGAATATCAAAGAATTCAAGTATATATAAAAGTGTGGGCTTAGTTTGTTTTCTGAGGTGAACTGACTAAAACAATTGTTGCCCTTTCTTCCCTGTAGTAAATTTGAGTTCACTGATTTTCAAACTAATTTCAAAAGAGGAGTAGAAATACCAAAAGTTATAATTCCTAAAGTTTAGGGAAACCTCAGAGTTGTACAGATCAGAAGACATTAAATTATTACTTTCTGAGGACAAAAAACAAATGGAAGGTGGATATTATGCATTGCACTGGGTAGAAGCCTACTTGTACAAGCAGGTTGTGGAAACTACCTGCTTGTACAAGAAGGACAAAATATGACAAGAGATACCATAAACCTGGTAGAATTAAGCAATATCTTTCTTCTGAATCTCAAGACAGTTGCCATAGATTTGTTATATCACAGAAAAAACCCACACCAAAGAAACTCCCCATGATCCAAACTACATAAAAGAACTAGGAAAGAGAATACCTTAACTAAGTAATCTGATATCAAGTTCCATGGTGTGGGCTGTGGCTGCATCTGAACTCCAACTACCAACTAACATTGCCACAGCTCCTTTCCCTGTCCTCATTCCCATTCATTCCTAGAAGATCTCTTCCAGAAGGCATACACAACTATCAACAACACAGGACTAGATCAAAAGCTGCTTAAATTATCACACAGTTATGACTGAGAATGCAAATGTATTTCAGTGTAAGTTGGGCACGTTAACTGCAGTGTCTTTGAATGTGGGTTAAGGTCTACATTGCAACTTCAGTTGACATGTGGTAAATAACATCCCTTGGCTCAGGCCCCAGACAATTTTTACGTAGCTCCACCCATCAAAGCACTGCCTACCATGTAACATTTTGGGGAGTTTGTTTTTTGTTGGTTTTTTTGGGTTTTATTTTTTTGGGGTTTTTTTTTTGAGGGGGGGGGTGGGGTGGAATTATTAGTCTAAGAGCTTTTCCATTGGCAACTCTGATCCAAAAACCTTTCACATGAATGGTACATTTGAGTGCCATTCATTACAATATTAATTAATTTGACCCAAGTTATTCCAGCCATGGCAGATGAGCAACTTGCAGAACTGTAGTCATAATAAAAACATGAGGCTGTAAGTGGATGATGCTGAGCACATGACCCTCAATTCTTTTCTATGCTGGCTTTTCTCTTTGATCCTAGGCCATCATATCTCCAAATGACAACACTTGTTGCTCTGCAGGGCGTTGGGAGGTGAATTGATAATGGTACATCAGCAATTAATGTAGTAGGGTGATTTTGGTGTGATTCAAATTTCACCATGACTTTATATATGCATCTACAAATGTCTTGTCATGCAAGTTATAGTTTCTGACTATCATTAAAAGGAATGCTTTTTTAAATTAGAAAAAGGAATCCCTGATAAATACAAATACCTACAGATGAGCTGGATGCACATGCATGTTTCTAAGCATCTAATATATGACAGAATGAGCTGATAACAGATAGAGAAATGAAATTTTAAAGTGGATAAAATTGAGATCCAATTCAGGTAAGCATTTATGCTGGTATTTAATTGGGATGCATTTGACGTGCATGAGGCTCAGGCCTATTTTGACCTGTTTAGCCATATTTGCCTGGAGTCCTACTTTATATCTGAATTACAGAAGATAAAATAAACAAAATCTTAAGACTCCCATATCTGCATTATTTAATCTTAGTGAAAAGAAATACTTTAAGTGCTCTGATGCTCTGCACATTTAATCTAGCTTCTGAGAAGATGATGACTGCAATAAGCAGTGGATCAGGTCATGGATCAGCAATACATGTCAAATACTATCTCCTCCTAACTTGTTCTTAAGTACCTACAGTTATGGAGTAGCACTATGCTTTTCTACTATTCTACTCCTCAGCTATTAAGCATCTACTCTTAATAACTCACCTAAACTTTCATTTCTTAGCTTCAGGCTACTGCTTGACTCCAGAAAAAGCATAATTAACTTGTGAGATTTTTATGTGCTCAACTCTCTCCTAGACTATTTTAGCTTCGCTACTTTGGTCGCACATGCATCTTTTTTGAAAAAAGCTTGTATAAATTTTGTATGCTTCCTTTGGTGTTTTTTTTTCAGTTTTACTTTATTCTCTCAAAGCTGTGGATACCATGGAATCAATATAATGCAATTAATATGCAGCATGTTACCTGTTTTATATTTCCATCTGACTCCTTGTGCTCTTTATTGTCTTTTACCCCTAGTTTTGTAATTATGGATTTTTTTCTGCAGTGTAAGAATTGCACTCTTTTAATCAGAATGGAAACTCCTTGATAACTCATTCTGAAATGTAACATCTTTCTCTTTAAAGAGTAAAGGCAGCTTTTAAATAGTATAAAAGAACAGTACTACATAGCAGATCACATCAAGTAGACATTACCCTATCCAACTTCAAGAAAGTCTGTTCAAATTACTTTGCAACGAAGTCCATATGGCAAAAGCCAGTATATTCTTATTAAGATGTCTGTCATAATGATGCAAAGTATCTCTTACAAGGGATCTCACTGTTACTCAAACTGCTAAAAATATTAAAAGGACATATTTCAAATACTGGCAACAACAAATGCTACTTAATTTAAGAAGGTGCTACCAGAATTCTGAATATCAAAAATACCAAGAAAGGTGGCCTATTATATCAAATATTACTTTTCTTCAATCCAGTTATTTTAAACCTTCTGTAAGACAATAAATAGTAGAAAGTTATTCTATTCAATTTTTTAAAGGTTAGTGACATCTCGTGCAAAATGTTCTCCTCTTATGAGGAGAGACTGCAGGAGCTGGGCCTGCTGGGTCTACAGAATAAAAGACTGAGAGAGGATCTCATCAATACAAATATCTTAAGGTTGGATAGCAAGAGAATGGTGCCAGGCTATTTTTAGTGGTGCCCAGTGAAAGGATGAGGAGCAATGGCCATCTATTTACTGGGAAAAGACTGAACACATAGTTTAAAGACCATGCTTACAAAATCAATTTTCAAAGCATTTGCTGGTCTTGCTGAGAGTCTTTCCACTCTTAATTTCTATCTATGCTTATTTTGTCCGAATCAAGATAAAAATAATTTTCTTTGCTTTAAAAAGAAAATATCTGTTATATTAAAAGAAGTAATATCTATTACATAAAAAAGAAAATATTTACCTTTTTCAAAGAAGCTCTCAGGTTTGATCCTGAAAGTCTTCTATTTAAAAACAAATAGGGACTGTAAAAATAATTGAAGGATTACGCTGAAAGCATGCACTGAAATGGAAATGCAGGCCACTGGAAGTGCTCTATAACATCTCAAAACTAAAAGAAACACTTAAGTTGAAAAGATACAATTTTTAATGTAAAATCAAATCAGGTTAATACAAATCAATTCAAATCCCTCAGGTTCAAGAATTGTAATAAGATATACTAAAGCAATTCTCCAAGATAAACACATTATCAACCAACAAGGATCAGGGAAATTAAATACAAAAAAATACAACAAATTGACAAAGGTGTTCTGAAGTGGGTGTAATAGTGAAGAAATTATAACTTCAGTGTAACAGGATATCTAATTCCTTATGTCCACATCATCATCTACTACTGTGGGAAGTATATTTTTTAACAGTTTTTCATTCCATGTACACTCTGCACTGAGGTTTTTTATATGAAGGAATAGCAGTTTGGTACTTACATATATGTGGCCTTAAAACATAACTTTTAAGTGCTGTGAGCAGTTTTATTCACAAAAAAAAAAAAAAAAAAAAAAAAAAAAAAAAACCAACCTTGACATATTTCCTACTGCTTGTAAGGAAGAAGTTTTATATGAAAAGATTTTCTGCTGTGGGATGAGAGAGATTAACACATATTCATTAAGATATAGTTACATGCTCCAAATGCTGCTCCTAAAAATGTGCAGTTTTTCCTGCCAAAACTTATTTACATATTTAGCATCTCATATTACTTCTGTGTATGAAGCATATATTAAATAGAAATTTAAGTAGAGATTTTAAAAGATTTTGAATTCAAAAGTCAGGTCTGATGTTCAAAAACATATGTCACCTAGGTATATAATTGAAAAGGCCAGACTTCCAAAAATATTGAATATATCTTCAGTAGTAGACTTCCCAACACAGTTCTCTGTTGAGATCACAAATTATGCCAAAGCATTTTGCACTAATTAAATGTAGGTTTGCCTGTTTCACTCATGCAGAAGCACAGAGGAATTAGATAAACTACAAAACAGAATTCAGTATCCCAGCCAAGAAAAGGTCCCAAAACACCTGACTTTCAATCATTAAGAAATGTTTTTCTCCACACCATGCTCAAAAACAAAGGAGCCTGTTCTTCGATATTGCTGCAAATGTAAGCATCTAAAAATTATTTGTCTACTTCATTTTTGTATTTCCTAAATAATATAAAAAACATTTTCAGGTTCCATATAATGTAATCTTGGTTTCTTTTTAGTTATAAAATGAAACGCTTATAAATATTTTAAATGTAAACTGAGCTTTTAGCTTTCAGGCACTAGAACCTGTTAGAAGTACAAATTAAACTTTAATTAAATTACTTCAACAGGAATTCTGAGTGTTCTGCATGCATAGTTTAGGATTGTACAATTTTATAACAAGGCTGACGTGATCGGATGGCTTGACTTTAATAGTTACCATCACATTAAGTAGATTTCTAATTACAATATGAGCTCCAGAGAGAAAATCACAATTAATGAACATATGACCCAAAGTCTTTCAAATTTAGTGAACTGTGTGAAGTCTGACACATAACATGCCAAATGCAAGTGGGACAGAGAATGAGGGTGAAGTGGAGCGTGTTGTGAATTCATGTAAAATTTTATTTAAGCTGTTAATTCAGCACCAGTATGGGTCAATCATGAGGAAAACAGCAGCAATTGAAGTCGAGAGAAGCTGCTCTTTGAATACCTGTGGCATGATACGATGCCAGACCACTCCAGTGCCTCACCTCATTATCTAGGTCCAGAGGATGGTGAAGTACATGTAAAACCAAGAAACTCCTGACAAAATTGAATGCCCACAGGGCAGAAGAACACAATATAATAGAACAATTATACAACTTCCTCAAATTCACTAACATGAGCTCAGATACTGCAAAAGCAGATGGGTTTCCAACACTCCCCAACTAATGAGAAATTTCATAGTGTCTGACACTTTCTCTTCTTGAAAAAAATTTAATCAGCTTTCCAATATATATATATATATGTATATATTATGCTTGGATCTTAATCTTGCAATTACACAAGTGCTTGTCTCATATGAACACTTTCAGTCAAGAGTGTGTTAGAAGAAAAAGCCCTTAATTTTTTACAAAAACCAATATTCTCCTTCCTACTTGCTTTAATTGCTTCTTTTCATCTAGGTAATTTCAGTTTTCAAATGTTCCTCTGCTGGCTTTCCCAAGTAACCATTATAAGGACCTTTCAACTGTGTGAAGAACAGTAGAACACACTAGAAAAAAAAATTTGCTGAGTTGGTTATGGTGTGGGGTTTTTTGTTGTTGTTGTTGCTGCTTGGTTGGTTGGCTTTTCTGTTTTGACTTTTTTATTGTTGTTTTGGTTTTGTTTGTGCTTTGTTAGTTTGGTGGATTTTTAAAGAACCAGGTATTGTACTAAAATAAAACCAGGAAAGTGGATATAAAATAAGTTAATTATACTGCTTTCACCATAAAAATTAAGAGATAACGAAACAAAACAAAAAGTTTCTAAGATGTACATTGCTACACCCAACCTTAAAGTATTAGATTTTGAAAGAGTGAAACTGGTGCAATATTTCCTTTACTAACCAGTAGCTACATTTCCTTAAGTTTATATTTTCCACTTGAGAAGATCCAGGGGAATGATTTCTTTCCTCTTGGGGAGATCAGAACATTTTATCTTCAGTGTCATGAAATTACAAAACACATGCAACATCAAAAGTAAAACTTTGTGTCTTTGATCTCAGAATCAGAACAGACATACTGACTGTAATACTAATACACACTGCCTTTTCTCTTTCTTTTATGCTCAGAGTAGACTTGCGTGACCAGAGAAAAGCATTTATGGTTTTGAGAGCTTCTGAATTTAATGGAGAGATCCAATGCAGATGTAGAGTTTTAAAGGAACCCTGCAGTGTATAAGAAACTAGAATGCTACGGAGTTCTCTCTTGCTGTGCAGTCTAATCAGAAGAAGGTAGGAAGAGATAAGTACTGGGTGAAAGGAAGAAGCTCACAAAATTCTGCATCATGATAGTTCAGTAAGAGCTAGGGAAATAAATGGACTTCTCTCATTGCAAATAGCTATGAAATGGTACTTATATAGATCAATTACATGATTTTTTTTTCCTGGAACATGAATTCTAGTACTGTTAAGGATTTATTTAACTTCATTTAAAAATCACATATATGTTAGAGGAAAATTCTTTTCATCTACTGTGTCCTACTTTGAATAAACTGCTCTTCTAAAAATTATTTTCAGTTAGTATAAAGTATTATATATAACAGAAAGAACCAGAGCAGCATCAGGTGCACTCCTTTGCACGAGATTTGCTACTATGGAAGAGGAGTCAAACAATATATTATTAGGTCATCTTATTTTTATTAGTCTAAATTAAAAACCTACTAGCACCTGTTGAGAGTTACACTTCTAAGACCTGAGTAGTTTTATCAGTTACATAAAACTTTTTATTTTTTACAGAAATATCCAAGGTTGCTGGCTCTCTTGTAATAAAGTAGTAAGCTATATGAACTGCAAAATCAATTGTAGCATATTCATAAGCTGTGAATCCTTTTCAGGAGGCCAGCTGCCAATACAGGAAAAATCAATAATATTTCCAAGTAGCATCAAGTGCATGTTGTTAGTTAATAAACCTGTGAAGACTGAATTTTCACTTAACATAGTAAATCCAAAACAGTCTACAAGCTTATAAATATCTACCCCACATAGTGAACACGCATTAAAAATATTTTGTGCTTATCACATAAATTTCTTTTAATATTGCCAAATGTTATGCTGCTATCCCCGTAACCTGTAAATTGGTTTAATTTCACAGTCAGGTGGGCTGAATCCTGGTGTTGCAATTCCTCAGCAGGTCCCTGTAGTGGCAGCAGCAGTACTTGTTTTTTACAATGCAGCAGCAGCTGCAAACTCTGATCTAGAAATATGCAAAAGGAACTGGACAGCTATTCCTCAACTTCTCCAATAAGTTTTTTGTATCTCCTCCAGACCACAAGTAGCAGACCACAGGTAAGCTTTGTGAGCTTATTTAACAAGCCATCAGCTGGCTGGTGACTCTGCTGACTTGAGAAAATTAATAAACATAGCCAATACAATAATATTTTAAGACTTTGTTATAGGCCACATCTCGCTTTCTTCTCTGTCCCAACATTTTATAATTTGGAATCATCCTTTTAATCCAGGTGAGTTATAAGTTACAGAAGTAAGACTGTAATAGCTGCCCTACTGCCATATCAGATCACAGAATACTGATCTGAGTTAGAAGGGACCCACAAGGATTGTCAAGTCCAACTGTTAAGTGAATGGCCCATATGGAGATCAAATGCAATCAAAGGGCATTGTTAGCACCATGCACCGACTAACAGAGGTGATGGTTTGGGCTGCTACAAGTCTGCAAAAAGAGCACAAATCAACTGTCACAAAAGCTCACTTCATTCAACCATATAATAAATTAGACTCAAAGAGACCCCTGGAACTCATCCAGTCTGACATCATGCACACCTCTCTTTTCAAGAGATATCTCTGCCACTTGGGTGGCTTGTTAGACATGGAGAGAGGGAATAGAAATCTTGCTCCCAGAAAAGCTGAAAGACCCACTGGGCTTTTAAGGGATAGTCAGAAAACAGCTGATGACACAGTGTTACATGGCAGGGTAAAGGTCACAAAGATACTGTTGTCTTGACTAGCCACCCTATTTAATGTTAACCCCTCCCCTTAAAATCTTCCAGAGGTACTGTGATGTCCAGTAATTCCCACTTAGGTGAGCAACTTCTCACCACTCATACATTGCTCTGCTTTAAATCACTATTCCATCCTATGTAATTCTGTCTTCATTAAATATTCATATCTAAATCTGACTTTAATTTCATCTCCATTGCTCACTGTCACTCACCAAGATCTTCATCAGCAACTGACAAAGATTCAAACGGATCAACAATGCAACATTAATGTTCATGAAAATATACTAACAAGCAATTTTCATTGTACT